ACTCCCTTTTAACAGGAAGAAACCTCCAGCAGAACCAGGCTCAGTGTGAGCGGCCATCTGCTGAGGCTGACTGGGGTTCAAGGAGACAGAAGAAGAGATACAAAAGAAAACTGTAAAAGGCGGCCATGTCCAGGAAACCCAAAGCCAGGCAGACGAGCGCCGAGCCAACTCCCATGTCGGAGGATGAAGAGAGCACATCCAGTTAGTCACGGTCAGAGAAACAGGACTAACTGAAAATACAGGCCGATCTCGAACATCTATAAACAAAGGTGCTGATGGAAGCAGCACAGCTGATATTTCTCTCCAGTATGGTGTCACAACCAAACAGGAACAGATGAGGCGAAGCTACTATGAGAAAAAGCAGAGAGAGCAGAACGTCAGAGATTGAACTAACAGATTCTGCAGAGTGGGAGAATAGAGATAGAATGATGAAATAGGGGTCCCTATGTCCTCCACAAGTCTAAGTCTATAGCAACATAACTATAGAGATAGCTCAGGATAACCTGAGCCACTCTAACTATAAGCTTTATCAAAAAGGACATTTTTTAGCCTACTGTTAAAATTAGACAGGGTGTCTGCTTCACAGACTAAAACTGGTAGTTGGTTCCACCGGAGAGGAGCCTGATAACTAAAAGGCTGTTGCAGGATTGAAACAGCTTTACTTTCTCATTATAGCTTTACCTTGAAAATAGATGATGGACAAAGGTGCAAATGAAGCAGAAAAAGATCAGGTACTATTTTTGTAAGTCTGATGGCCTAATTCATAGAAATAAATCAGTCTAGAAACTTCTGTTTTTATCGTTGTAACTGTGCAGTTCCAATGCATTTACATTTACAAGGTTGAGGCTATCATATTGTTGATTAAATATTAAAACTTTAAAAAAATTTCTGTATATGATATCAAAAGTTAATTAAAAAGAAAATGAAAAAGGAAGCAAGTTGAAGTAATTAATCAAATTTCATTGATGAGCCCAACTGTATTTGATACAATTCTGTTTAAGGAGAAGAACAAGGAATTCAGAGAAATTGTGCTTCAATTAAATACAAAGACAACAATTCAAAGTTACACGCTGACTAATGAAATATTCTCTCCCTCTCCTGTCTGTGATTGCACATAAGTCTCCTTGCCGCCACAACCACAGAAATTTTTGCCTTAAAGTTTTTTCCTTTTGAGATTTTTTTTTTTTTTACCACTTTCAGTCATTGACACAGAGACTGCAGTCTGTTAAATAAAATGCACTGCAGATTGTAAATACTTACACTTTTATATCCTCCCCCCAGCATTTTGCACCTTCTGATGATCCGCATATGTTTTGCATATTTATACACATTAAATCTTTGTACCTGCTCTTCTGCTCAGTTTAAAATCTCAGATCCTGTTTGCATCCAGTTAGCACTTAAGCTTTGTTCACAGGAAACCATGTTAGCACCTCAGGGCTAAAGTCTTCAATGGAGACAATCTTTAATTGATTCCTTTGCTGAAACAACGTTTTGCTTTTTCTCTGGAGGAACGTCCCCCGATCTGGAAGTGTCCCTAACCATAGAGGGGTCCCCTGTGTTTGGAAAGAACATCTCCTTCTGTGTGAAAGTCACAAACAGGTCAAGCCAGATGAGAACCCTGAGGGAAAATTTCAGCACTCAGCTAAAAGAGTACAACAGAAACCCACAGCATAGCTTCTGGACAGCCCACAAAGAAATTTCCATACAACCTTATAAAGGTAACTAAGTATAAAAACAATAATACTTAGTATTATTAAAAACTATTTTTTAATTTGATCTTTTTTTTTAATATGCTGTTCTTTGTACCTCATCTCCTTGCTCTTTAGATCTGACACTCTACCACACCCTCCACTACTCTGACTACGAGTCCACCTTGGCAGCTGATAGTGTTGTGAATGCAGCGGTGGTGTTGCAGGACCCAAGGACCAATGAAAGCATCCTGTCTGCACAGGAATTCAGCATGAGCTGCGTGCCGATAGAAATGGAGGTAAAACGACATGCAACCCACTAAGAAAGCATCATGATCTAAAATAGTATCTATGTCTCCCTGCCTCACACCACAGCAACAGAAGTATCTCTACCTTTGTTTTCTGTTATCAGTTTGGAGACACAGAATTATGACTTTTATTAACATCATATCTCTTTATACTCATATTCCTTTATGAACCATAATAGCTTTTTTGAACGTGATATTGGTTCAGTTATTCCACCGTTTCGTCTTGCTTTATGATCTACTCCAAATATACCAAACTTACAGTTTCTCTATGAGGTTATTGCTCTAAAAACAGCTGATCTTGTTGTTAATAAGGATTAGAGAATTGTTTTTAGATATGCCTAACCTCCACTCAGTTTTATCTTCCACTGTGGGTTTTTCTTAGTGTGGCAAGAACTGACTTTTTGCAGCATGCATGAATCGTTAAAGTACTAAAGGTTTATTCCAGATTTACTTAGTGTCTGGAAAAGCATCTAAATTTTTGTTCATCCACACCAATGGGAGAAAGGGCCCTGCTGAAGTTTTCAATGGTCCTAATTGTTTTGTATTTTGCTCTATTGCATGAACTGAAAAAAAAAGGACACGGGTGGAGCTGGAGGGGGGCAGGACCCCCAGAAATCTTATCTCTCCCTGCCAGATAATTGACATGTACAGCTCCATATCACTCCTCTAAAGTACTTGTTGCTATGCAAAGGTGGGATAAAAGTTGCTTAGTTACTTTTGCAGCAGAAAAAAATCCTTCTTGTCCTTTTTTTGTAAAGAAAAGAAGAAATATTTGTCTTAAAGCAATTAAATCTTAATAAACAGTTTCAAGAAATAAGAGGAAAATTCAAATTCTTGAAAAAAAAAACCATTTAACTCATTACCTGTACAAGACATTTACTGTATGTCTTGTGAAGGTAATGTACTAGTTGACAATAATTTACAACATAAAAAGTGCAAACATCCATCGTGCCCCACTGCTTGCTTTAGGGCTGGTGCAGTCTATGGGTGAAAGGCGGGATACACGTCAACAGGCCGCAGAGCAACAAAACAGTACATGCACACACCCAAGGACAATTTAAAGACCTAAATTAACATAACAATCATGTTTTCTGTGAGGAAGTTTGAGTTACCAGAGAGAACCAGGGCTGGGAATTGAACCTAGAACCCTCTTGGTTCAAGGAAACAGTACCGGTATTAATAAACTGCGCTACCATGCAGCCGCTAATGAATACGTTTACTTTGAATTTAGGCATGTGTATTCATACAGCACACTTCAGTACAATTTAAATTGGTTTACATTAATTAAAAGATACAATAGAAAAAAAGAAAAAAAGCAAGTAAAATAAAAGCATTATAAAAACAGGTAATAAAAGAAATGACCAACCACAATCTTAAACTAATAATATCTCAGTTAACAGTTTAGCAAAGCCAACAATAATTGGTTTTCAGCTTCAACCTAAAAGAACTCAGGCTTTCATTACTTTTAGTCCTCTGGGAGTTTGTTCAAATAAGTGGAGCATAGGAACTAAATGCTGCTTCTCCTTGTTTGGTTCTAGTTGTGGGTGGCTAGAAGACCTGAGTGGTCTGGGAGGTTGAAATACTGACATCTGAAATCTGTTATGTATTGAGGTTCTGATCCATTCAGTGATTTCTAGACTGACAGGAGGATTTTAAAGTCTTTTCTCTGAACTACAGGGAGCCAGTGGAAGGACTTCAGAACTGGGCTGATGTGCTCTACTTTCTTAGTTCTAGTGAGAACACAGGCAGCAGCATTTTGGATCAGCTGCAGCTCTGATGGACTTTTAGGCAAACCTATGAAGACACTGTTGCAGTGTCCAATTCTACTAAAGATAAATGTATGAATGAATTTTCTAGATCTTGCTTGGACATTAGTCCTTTAGTCCTGGAGATGTCATTGAGGCGATTAAAGACTGACTTAGTAACTGCCTATATGAGCCTCTGAAGGCTGATGTCTGAGTCCATCATGGCGCCAAGATTTCCGCTATAATCAGCGGTTTTAAGCTCTAGTAGCTGAAACTGTCAGCCAACTGAAAACTATTTACCAAGTTTGTTTTCATTCAGTTGGTGAGAATTATACAATTACCCCAAAATAGATAAAGTTAATGGCATATTTATTTCAAAGTTATTGTTTTTCAACATACATTACATGTTGAGGAATTCAATGATTTGCTAAAATCAACTTTCTAGTCATAAAAACATCTTAAAATGCAGAAACAGGCACTTCCACCACCTGTGTGATTCAACTATTCAATTAGCTGTCTCACAATGATTGGAATGAGGTTAGGTAAGAGAGGAGGGGAGAGAGAGTGATGAAGCAATGTCATAAAGGGGTCAGACACTCCTCTCAACTGAAACATTACAATGAGTAAAAGCGCAAAGTTGTCTTTAAAAAGTACAAAAAGAACAAGGCTCTCAGAAACAGAGCCTGACAGCTACTGCTGCTGTAAAAACTATGATGTCCACTCAAAGTCATTAAGTTTCCTCAAAAGCAAATCATTCTTGTTTGAGTCTTTGAGCCTCTTTCAGGATTGGTGCCCAGGAAGTACATGTTAATGAGCATTTTCTGTTTTAAATAGACTTATGTATTACAGGCTGCATTTTAGAACTATTCCTCTAATTTTTCACCATAAATGTTTTTGCATTTTTAGCCAAATAATGATGCCCAATGCCTATTAACTTATTAGAATAGAATAGAATAGAATAGAATAGAATAGAAAAAAATCCCTTTATTGTCGCACAAAGGGGAAATTCTGGTCTTTACAGCAGCAAAAAGATTATAGAAAAAATGGTCATACAAATGTGGACCTTAGAAAAATATAAAAGAATAACATACTAGTGAAGAGTTAAAGGTTTATTAGCTTCAGCTAACATATAGAAATCCAACGTTTAGGAGCTGAAATAACAATAATGAGAGGAGAATCAAGACACTTACATGGACTGCAGCGCACTCTCCCTCTAGCCTCTTCCTAGCTATGCTGTTTGCAACGTCAGTTGTTTATTAACAAGATATGGACAACGTCATAACATATGATATAAATGCTAATTTAAAAGTAAAGTAAATATCCATCCATCAATTTTCTGTCACGCTTATCCCAAGTGGGGTCGCAAGGGGTGCTGGTGCCTATCTCCAGCTGTCTATGGGCGAGAGGCGGGGTACACCCTGGACAGGGCGCCAGTCCATCGCAGTTCAACACAGATACGAACAGGAAAAACAACCATTTACACACAGAATCACAACGAAGGAGCCAATTAACCTAAAGGTCATGTTTTTGGAATGTAAGGGGAAGGCAGAGTTACAGGAGAGATCCCTGCATTATAAGGGAAAACATGCAAACTCCATGCAGAAAGATTCTGGGCCGGGAATCGAACCCGGAACCTTCTTGCTGCACGGGAGCAGTGCTAGGGATACTTTTCTTATTTTTATTTTATATTTCCCAAACTGTAGCTGAGCCTTGTTCCATTATCAAAGCTTCTCTTGGTTTTTGTCCCTGAAAAACACATCCCTGGTTTCCTGTTGTACTGTTTAATTATCACATTCTGTCATAAAAAGACAAAAAAACATCTATAACCAAATTTATAATTGTTTTGCAGATTGCAGGTGGAGACTGTGTGGAAATGAATAAAGAGCAGACAGCGCATGTGACCTTCACCAACCAGCTTGATAAAGTGCTGAGTGGAGCTGTGCTGAGTGTGGAGGGATCCGGTTTGTTGCAGCAAAAACAGGAGACCAGGTTGGTTTACTCACAGTCAGTCATTCAGTTATAACCTGAAACAAATACAAGAAACATTCTTTGGCGACATTCCACTCATGACAAGCGTATTGTCAAAAGTCTTGTCTGAGCTGGTTTCTTCAATGAGCCAATCAGTTTGGGAATGTTGTCGGGTATGTTTCAAGTTTTTCTTGCAACAGGTGTACAAATCTAAGACTTTCCTTTAAAGAAAAAAATAGACATGTTCATTTTCACCACTTTCACCGCTTCAAACTCACAAGACAAACTGCAAATTTTACTTACAGTTTGTCGAATAATGAAAAGTGCAGCAAAATGTCAACTTTCTTTTACCCAAAAAGGCAACCTGAATAAGGCTGACTTTAGTTGGGCAATTCCTTAGAAGGTGTCAATTTCTATTTTACATGAACTTTTATTCAACTTGTTTTGGCTGATAGCTGGTAAAATAATTTGAACATTTGCGTGTTCAAAATAAAGAAATGTGCAAAAGCGAATAAAAAAAGAAACAGCCAGTGATTGCAGACTGGTTAATTTACATTCACTTCAATTTTAAATACATAACTTACAGTCTCTGGCATCCTAAACAAAAGCATAGAAAGCAAAATGTGTAGCCCGTATATGAGTTCATTAAGGATCATTTAAAATAATCTATTCAGTTAGGATAAGAAATATGGAGGCTTAACAAACTAGGTCTTATGGAGGGATTTAGAAGCCACTGTGTTGGAAACTAACATTTTATTATAAAGTCTAAAATTCTGGCAGAATTCACTTAAACACAATTTCTGCTCTAGTTCTGATTTGTTTAGTTACACCAGTGTGCAAAGGTATATTCCCAATAACTGGCCACAGTCTGTGTTCTATATAAATATAGCACTGCATCAAATAATATGTGACACTTCCTGCAGGTGTGGCAAGCTGTTTGTTTTTCTGACATATACATTGGTTTTTAAAGGAGCCATTACCTGTTATTCTATGTAAACGCTTCTGAAATCATCTTTTTATTCAAGTTTAATAATTTTAAGAAAGATTTAAAACAGATTTAAAACAGTAAAACTCATTTGGCACCTTTTCATATTTTTTTTCCCCAAGAGGAAGCACAAAGGAATTTGGTTTGTGCGTATGTATTGTTAGGAACAGTTGCCAAGGTTTATTTATCACATAATAAAACCAAGTTAAATTTAAACTCCAGATTGTTCAGGGAATATTAACTGAGGCTAAACACCAGCACACGTTTTAACAGGAAAAAAAAAGTCAGATTTACAGGTAATAACTTTTTTTTAATTTAACAACAAAAACTGAATTTAAAAAAATATCTAAAAAATATTTATGAAATATGAGGCAATAATTAATGGAGATACTTCCAGTTTTATCCACCCATTCAATCATTCAAATTAAACATAGCTGGAAATTAGTGTTGACGTCAGGGAAAACACTGTGGGAAAATCTGATTAGCCTGAGGCCTTCCAGATAAAAACTGAAGAAGCTTAAAAGTCTGGTAAGGGATTTATACAGTAAGAGCTCTAAAAAAATTAACTCACCTTTTCATTGTAAAGTATTTCAAATGGATGTGTCTGAAAAAGCATGCATCTTATCCAGGCCTGGAGGTCCAAGAAGGCAGGACACAAGCTGCTAAATAAAATCCTGTTACTGCACAGGAAAATTAAACTTTCCATTTTTACAAGCATAAAGAAAGCTTTGCTATCTAGAAAAAGCCATAAAAGTCATATATTCTAACACGTATTGGGGGCAAATCTGAGCCTAACTGTACTCTTTAATAGGTTCAATTAAATCATTCCCCAACCTCACAGATTAAACATATACACACACAAATATTGAAAAACATATTTAAAAATGGTTCGACAACAGTAATGAAAGCTGATTGTAATTTATGATTCGCAATTTTGATATTTTTTTGTTTTATGGGTCTAGAATATAACAAAACATTTTCTTCATACATTTATTTTTGACCTGACAGGATTTTTGCCTGCCTTCTTTTGTCGTATTGTGATATATTCTGTATTTTTCTGTTAAACAAGTGAGACAAAACACAGGTACAATATAATCCTGTTGTAGGCTGTGTGACAACAAACATTCTGAAGCCGGTACTGCTTGTTTTTGAGCTAAGCTATTGGATCTCTGGAGCGTTTCAGGGCTCCAGAGATAAACTCTGAGTCTGTGTTCCAGCAGAAATTGGAAGATTAAGTTTCTTTTCTCTATCCCACAGGGCGTGTCTCCTTCAGCCAGGCGAGAAGATAGAAAATAAAGTGTCCATCAAGGCCACTTCTCATGGCACTAAACTGCTGGTGGCTACTCTGTCACACAGCAACAACTCCATCACTGTTTCCAGGAGCTACCTCAGAATTTCTGTAAAGGCTGCATGATGCTGAATCATGACAGTAAACAAAGAACCATTTTAATCATGTGATTTCTGTTTTCCTATGGTAAACATACGATGAAATGCAGTTGTATTAATTGTTTACATTTATATTTAAAACTAGTATTTCTGTTGCTCTTTTCTGCATGACTAACTAGACAATAAACAGATGTTTGGAATATTAAAAGCAAGGCACCATGATGCATAACTATGTCTAACAAAACACAATGCATCTCAAAACTTTATTTTTTTTTTTTTATCAAAATGTATTATTTTAGAAAGGAAACTGCTTTTATACCTCATTTAGTTTGAAACATAAAAGTTATAATGTACACTCAGAGGACAATGTTTCAATATAGATGCTTAAAATCCTTAAAACACCAGAAATATCAAATCACCTGTATAGATGTAGAGATAAGAAAGGATTAGGACCATTTCTAGGAATTAGGCTGCATCCAAATTGATCTAATTATATCCCCTAGCTGTGGTAACTAGCTTCACCTCTTATAAGGTTACCAGTAAAAGCATGATCATGCATAGAAAAGAAGGTCTAGAATGCTGAGCCGATTCTGGACTGCCTTTAGCCTGCACCGTCATAATACCACTGAATCATGGACATGGATGCTAGTCAAAGTGGACGATAGTCTAGGTGGGCATTTATCGAATGATTCATCTTTATGATTGTGTAATCAATACATTAGAGTTAATGTGTTCAAAAACTCTAGAAATGTGTGTTTTATCGGAATTTTTATTTTTTCTTGTATTCTTCTTTTTATTCCTTTTTTCCATTGGTTGATCGGGAAATTAAAAGAATGTGATGAAATGCAGTTATTATGGGATGTTTTTGTTATCTAAGCTTATTTTAAATTTGTATATTTTTTTAAGTGTAGTGTTTGTGGTTGTGTATCTGTGGTTGCTGCTCCACTACCTGTGGAGTGAGCTAAAGGTTAGAGTGATGGCATGCCGATCTCTAAGACTTGGGAATTTGATACTAAAGATTTTTCAATTGTTTATTGACAAGAACATGTATAACTTGAATAAATAGAAATGAAAGCAAACAAAATAATAATTTTTAAATGAATACCCCATTTTATATTATTGTTTGATTATTTTTTGAGTGATAACTGTATCATTACATTAATAAATATTTTGTTTTAGCTGATAAAGTTGAATCAAAATCTGACAGAGGTCTATTTTATTGGTCTAGTGTAGCAAAGTTGGTTGCAGTTTAAGATATCACCACTAGGTGTCACTATACCCTAAAGTTTTAAGAATAGTGAAACTTCCACTTTACAAGCCTGACATTTAAAGCTATTATTGTAAAACTGTATTGTATCTCTAGATTGCAAAAAATGAAGAAAAAAACAGAGAATGACGAGCAGCACAGGTCCAGTGAAAACAGAGGACTCAGCAGTCAAAGCTGTTTTAATCAATACAGCAGGCAGCCTATAGCCACTCAGCATTTTCATCAAGCTTGATACCCGTATATCAATGCATAGTTTAAGTACCATTATGAGACTTGATTAAAATCGATAAAACCTACATTTTTTTTTTTATATATTGTGACAGGCTTCTCTGTGTGATGAGTAAGTGGTCTCTGTGAAGCCCTAAATTTAATTATTCAAGTCCTCTGTGCCACTTCGTGTGATTCCTCAACTTACTTATGCATGTATAATTAATGGTTTCCCTTTGACGTCCTTGATTGCACCGAGAAGCAGAGCTGCAAAACAAAAATACTAGTGGTGCTGCAGAAATGGGCTTTTCTATTAAGAATCTAAGGAGGTGGAGATTTTTGTTTTGATTTATTTTTGTCGTTCCTCGTTTTAACAGTTCAAAAACCAAGTATTTTGTCATATTTTCATATATATTTTGGTATTCAGAAACAGGCTATTCACATTTCTTTTTTAAATATGTTTAAAGACCTCAGAATAGTGCTGTGAAGCAGAACCTGCATCCTTCCTGTAAATGTTATGTATTCAAAGCAGAAGAAGAGAAAACATCTTCTTATGTACTTTAAAATCCAGGCAACCTGAGAGGCGCATAAAGGTTTGTTGCTATGAGATCCCTTGTCCTGTTATGACTTTCAGACAGGGCTTGCTTTAACTTAAAGGGTTCCTGGTCGCCATGTTTGCACCGAACAGCTTGTGATCTCACCTCAGTGGCGGAGAGATTGAGGCAGAGGCGTCGGCAGACGGGAGACGATAATCAGGCTCCACACTCACTGATTTTCAGACAAATTAAACGTCAGGGGAAAGCAGGGAGCGGGACCGCTGCGCTGCTTTGAAAAGCTGAGGCTATCATAAATTATTAATGGCTCCCCGTCACGGCCTCTTTCTCCTCATCCGTTGCTCCATCCCTCTTCTTTACCCAGCCCTCCCTTCAGGGTTCTTTTCTGTTTCTGTCAGTCTTTCTTCCTCTTCAAACACACCCCCCTCCTTTCATCTCTTAACCCACCTCTAACTTTTTAAAAAAAACTCTTTTATTCCTTCTCTAGTTTTACCCGTCAGCCCAACTTTTCCTCACTTCTTCCCATCAGCTTTGTTTACTGTCAATATCCGTCTTTCCTTTCTCAATTAAATCCCCCTCCTCTGCCTCCTTTGTGACTTTGCTGAGTTTCGCCCCTCCCATCCATCTGCTCTTCATTACCGGTTCCCATGTTAATCTTGATCACTTTCCTCTTCTCTTCACCCTCTTGTCATCCTTCCTTCCCTCTAACCGTCCCTTTCCATTCTTGAGTCTCAGTGGTCCTCCTCACTTGGCTTCTTGCTTCGTCCTCTGAGCTACATTTAATAGGTTTAAAAGGACACGTAATTTAGCATTGTGACAAGGACAGGTTAAATAAAATACATGTATACTTTTATTTATATAAAAATCCATCATCATTTGACTACTGCTTTGAAGAAGCAGTGAGCTTTTAGGCCTCCTGCTTCTATGAATACTAAAAGGGTTTTCTCAAGGCTCAGAGACCAGGCAGTAGAAATCAACAACTGGAAATCTCAACTGAATCAGAACAGCACAGCAGTCTCTGTTAACGGTCTCAACTAAGTGATCTATTCATCACTGTTTCCAAAGCAAGGCTACTTGTCTTGTGGAAAACTCAGTTCAGTACAATAATACCTCATTGCCATGGACCGTATCTCCCTCTGACAAAGTTACTGTCTTCTTTACAGGATGCTCAGGTTTAACCATCAGTTTCTGTTTGTTTTGTTTTTTGTTCAAATAACCTTTTTGTAAAGTTAAAGACACTACAAGTAGACCCACATTTCAAAAGCAGGACTTTTAGAACAATCTGTGTCTCTTTATTGCTGTTTGGTTAGAAAGCATCATTTTCCCATGTGTTTGTATTGCAGTAAAATTGCTGTCCTCCATCTATCTGCCCATCTTCTATTCCTATTTGTAGGGATGTAGGTTGGTGTTGGTACAGGATATTGAAGGTATAGAGGACAATCTTATATCCGGGTGGATCATCTAAATAAGTGGTCATCCTAATTGTCAATTATTCTGGTAATATGTTTATGTCAGGCCGTCCTACACGCTTGTCCCGTTAGCTATCTTTTCTGCACATAGACCCTTTCAGGTGAGCTACAGTTTCAGCCAGTCATTGAAACTCACCTTTCTCACCGCGGTTCTTTGAAAATGACCGAGGGTTCACTATGTGAAGAAAAGAAAGCCCTCAGAAGAGGCAGATATATCCCGGAATGCTTTGTAGGGAGAGCTCTTCTCAAAGCATTATGGGATTTGTTGTCACGGCGGCCTGCTATCACCATAGGCTGTCGCTATCCAACAGCGGCGACTAATAAAAAAGATGACGCAGGCACTGTACGGTAGAGGTGGAGCAAAAAGCAGTGATCATCTATTCGAACGATAACGATATAGTGATTGAGGGGATTAGAGGTTGGGACGAAGGTTCGGACACAGTAAGCTTGTATGAGCTATGAGAACAGTAACTTTTAAACAGAGTGTGCATGAGGAGAAATGGGCTCCTGCATACTTTCGCACACGTTTAATAGGCGTTCCCTCTCGGGGGCAGGTACAGGGTTGTGCATGTGCATTTTTTTAAAGTGGAGAGGGCAGGTCTTTAAAAAAAATTTGTGAAAATCCTCCACTACACTTTGAAGTCAGTGAGCAAAAGGCGAGATTTCCCCGAACATATTTTCTTCCTGCGTTCTATATTTTTACTCTGCATCATGCCCTATTTTTTTAACAGGATTTAATTTATAGACCAATTTGCTCTCGAATTCTCAGTGTGTGGATTCATTGGGTCGATGTGTTAGAACTTCACTGGCTTTAGAAATCTCTCCACAGAAAGAAAAACCTTGATATGTTCAATGGTTATTTCACCCGCTGTAGGCAGTAGGTGCACCAGTTAAAGGTGTCCAGCTTAGTGATGGAGGAGAAAAAGAATAAAAATGATCTCCACTCGGTCATAGAGCTGCATTTTAAAATGTCATTATGCTAGGTTTGAGACGGTAACAGACAATATTTCCTCCACTATCACTGTCTCACTTTCATATCATTCTCTGAATATAAGCAGCTGAAAACATCCAAATCTGCTCACTCACTCAATTACACTTTTTTTTTAAATTACCCCTACATCAGCTCTTCACTTTTAAAATGAACATTTTAACATCCCTGCTTAGTTTCCTGCAACACGAGCAACAAGAGATTCCTAAATTCTTGCCAAGGCTAACAAGAAAGAGAGAGAGCATCAAGATGGAAGGACGGTTTGATTGATCTGTCTGAACAGATGGGATGACTGCTGAGCCCTCAAGAGGCTGTCCATTTTAAACTGATGTGGGCACACAGGGACAGGGTTTCTAATGAGCCTATCTCCCACAGCCACATCCTGTGCAACTAAACAGACTTGCTCAAATGTTTTGGGAGTTTTTTGGGGGCTTAGTGTAGAAATGTTAGTTAAGTTGCTTGAAGCAACTGATGACTTTGTATAGCGTTGTGATAACCTACTATTTCTAACCACATGTATGGTGCTTGAAATCACACAAAAGAACTCACAGACCAGGACCCCAGCGGGCTGCATTAAAGGGTGGTGCTGATAAATATGATAATGAACCGAGCTTCTGTCTGATGCCCATTGTCACCTGGTAATGAGCTTGTACCCAAGGTCACCGCTATAATGGCTCA